TCGAAAATTCAATGTTATTTTATTTAATTTACAGCAAGTTGAACATATTTAAAATTAAAACAGCAAAAGGAAATCAACTGCCAAATCTACAATTTCCGCAACAATTTAAAGTACACAGCACAGACACCAAAAATCCCAAGCAAAACAACAAAACAGAGAAAACAAAATCAAGAGCAACAACCGCAAGCGAAATAAACGTACATCATAATTATGACAAAATGAGCGCAACAACAACGTGCAGCAGACAAAATAACTTTATGAAGAGCTATTACAGTCGGAGCAACACAATGCACAGTAACAGAGTCCACACATTAACAGTTCAACTGCTGTTAGTATCTGGACTGCTGCTATGGGAATGCGGCTTGACTGAAGCAGCCAGCGGCTTGACAAGTATTAAAGAGACTGGGGGTGAGTTTTTATATTGAAATTTTAAGCGTAATGTTAAATTGCTAAACTTTTAAAGAGCAGAGCAGCAGACCATAAATAAATGCAAGCTTAAGAGACAATGACAAATGTTGCTTCTCTTCTTATGCTGTCAATTTTTTTTTTTTACAGTGGCTTGAAAACTTTAGGTCAGCAAACAAATTTATATATATTTTTTGGAAATTCATTAATAGATTATTTAATTAATCTTGTTTAATACTATGACTTTAAAAATTAAAAAATAATAAAAAAATATTTATTACTTCAACTCTGAATTTAACTATAAATTATAAGAATAATAAAACTTTCATCGGTTATCAGTGCAAACCAAACTGTTGCCAAGCAACATTTTAATACACTCTTTAACGTAAGAGCATATCTGCTGTTAACTCTGAAACCTGTTGTTCTTATAATGCGTTCGAAATGCGAAGAGTGGCTTACGGCTTTAGATGCCGAGCTGTTAGTTCAAAAGCCAGTTGCTGTTAATGCAACTCAATTTTCAAGAGTGACTTAAAACTGTATCAAAAGTAGAACTGTTAAATCTGCAATCCACATGATAATTAACAGTGCAACCACTTTAAGTCAGCGAGCTCAATCCTTATTGGAGTTCAACTTAACAGTGCCACTGCTGTTAACTTTGCAGCCTGTAGGAGCATTAAAACTGAAAGCACGCATTTATTTACAAAGTCTATGAGAAGCAACATATGAATTAGCTAGGTGTTTACAGAAATACTTAATTAGCATCTCAATTAAAAGCCAAACAATCATAAACAAATGCTCGTCGTGTGAAAACAGCAAAATAGCAACAAATAATTAACAGTTTTTAGCCACTGACCTTGGCCAATATTGAGGGACTTAGCATAAATGTAAATGGCAAACAATGCAAAATAATGTTTAGCAGACGAAGAGTCGAAGGGGCTTCTCGGGCGGGCCATGCAAATTTGCGCAAGTAATTCCACGCTTACATATCAAATATATGAAGTGTTAAAGCTCATCATCATAATGGCCATAACGAGCCATTGAATGTGTTAACATGGCCAGTCAATAAAATGCGGACAGCTGACAGAATAAGTGCGGTAATAATCGCATTTATGTTAATGCCTATAAATGTATATATGTGCGTAGTTCGTTTATATGGCAAACATCGAGTAATTTTGTTACTTAATATTTCACATGCTTGAAGAGAAACTTGAAGAAATTGATTTCAATTAGCCTGGCTAAAACGTTTCGCTGACCCGCCAGCCAAACGCAAACAATAATTTTAATTTACACAAAATAACAATTAAGTGCCAGCAAAAGCTAATTTAAAAATAATATAAATTATAAATGAAAATGTTTACGATTTATACAAGCAGATACCCTATAAATGTTGTATACTCTAAAATTTACGTTGAATAATTTAATCTAAAAAAATTATGTTATCCTCGCTTTCGCTGACAAATCAGACTAGAGAATATCCAGGGTTTTTTTTTTTATTATTATTAACTATGGAATATAAAATATACTTTGTAAACAAAAGGTCAACAGCGCTAATTTAAAATGAATGTATATAAAAATATATATATATATATTTATAAATTTGCGATGTAAACAAGTATATACCATGTATAAAAATAAAATTATAAAAATTGTTCAGAAAAAAAAGAAGAAATCAAAAAGTATTTAACTCGCAAAAGTTTCCATTAGACAATATTCACAAAATAGCAATTAAAATTTAACAAGTTACTGTAAATCTACAACTCTTTCTCTCTCTCTCTCTCTCTCTCTCTCTTTTAATTACAAAAATTGCATAAAGTAATAAACTAAAAGGTACCCTGTATTTCATATAAAAATGGAATGAATTACAAATTTAAGCTATTATTAAATAAATATTGGAAAAACAAATCCCACATCTCTTATATTTCATGTGATATGTCTAAAAACAAAAACAAATTGCCTAATCAATAATACATACTTCTGTTCGTTCCACACACTTCGAATGAGGCCATAAAAATCTATACAATGCCAACACATTCTGACAAACAGTTCTGCTTTACAATACCCGAAATCAACTTAAAGTTAGAGAGGATTTGGTCTATCAAGTACGTGCTTATCAAATTGTGAATTATTAAATCCTGATATCATACGTATGGGTATTGTGTGTGTACATAGTCAGTCATAAACCTAACGATGCTTTAATGTATAAATATTTTTATAGCTCCGCAGGTTGCGAAATTGATTTTCCAATTAACAGATTACTTTGTGGTAGACCATAAAGTTATACGACTGGCGAATACTCTATGGACAAAGTATTACTCATAAATTATGAATGAATTTGATACTCATGCGTTACAGGGTATGCAAAAAATACGTTTGCACTGCTCTTAGTAATTATTAATTCTGTTTGTTTGCTTAAATTAAGTCTTTTTTATAGCTTGGCTTTATGAGCTCAGCTGCGGCCTCTTTGTATAATTCGAGCGACACCAGACACAAAACTCACAAAACAAAAATTATATATACAAGAGCAGTAGGAAAATTGCATTAATAGTGTTCAAGCATATACGATAGAACACACCCTATATTCAGTAAAACATAGAAAAAAGCTCTAAAAGTTTATAATAAAACCATAAAAAAAGATAATAAGATGGATTTTCTAAAGTGTATAATTTATACAGTAAACAAACATCGATTAGTTATCAAGCAACAATAGTTTAATAAATTATTAGCTTTTTTCATAATTCCTAGCTCAGTTATAAATAGACTTTTAAATTATTAAGGTTAATATTAAAAATATATTGAGAACGGAAAATATAAAATTAAAATAATATTTATTTCAAGCTAATTTGATTTAGGTTATTTATTTTATATCTTTGTTTTTTAATTACGATTTTTTAAATTATTTATGTTAAGTAAATTTGTAAGTTTTAAAGTATTTAGAAATTAATTTAAAATGAAAATTAACTTATATTATATAATGGATTTTAGTTTATAAAGCAAATTTCATTTAAAAAAAAGTAGCTCTTTCTAAACGAATAATTTATTTATTTATTTTTTTTTTTATCAATTATTTAGATTCAAATAAACTTTGTATATCTTATTACAGGGTATTTCTGAAATTAAAAAATAATAAATAAACTAGTGCGAATTATACATAATACAGTTAAGCATTACAGCGTTTTGGTTCAAAAACCTCAGCTAATAATAATTCACATTAAGTAATATGTAGTAAAATACGTACACGGAAAATTACACTTATACATATAAACATATATTTTAATTAATGTATATATAAATCTGAATTACAAACAAACAACAAAAAAAAGGTATGCGCGTGATTCGACCAAGAAAACGTAGCGCAAACAGCACAAAACGTTTTTTTGTTTACATTTTATTTGCGTTATTTTTTTGTATTTTATACTCAGTTTTATCAAACATTTATTGTCGTACGATAAACAAATAAACAATTCATGCTCAACACGTGTACGGACAGACATTCAAATTAGCAGACAGAAAGCTGAGTGATATGACACTCAATGAGAAGCTGCTTGTGTCCTCTCTCCGCCCAAACAAGGGAGGAAGAAGAACTACAGAAGATCATTTAAGTGGTTCTCTATATAGCGGAGAGTGTTCCCATCGGTCAGTCGAAGCTCGACAGTAACGACCCCTAACTAGCATTTGAGCGTGACTTCGTGTTTGAGCAAGAGTCGCCCTATGTACATATATAAAGGCCAGCAGCTGCGACATTTCTTCAGTCACCTAGGCCTGGTGGGGGTCAGTCGTGCAGTGCAGTAAAGAGAAGTGAAGTAAAGTAAAATAAAATAAAGAGTCAGTTATCATCCAACTAAGCCTTAAAGACTTAGAGGAAAGACTCACAGGTAATACTGAGAGGAAATATAGCAAATACTTGGAGGAAATACTTAGAAGAAATACTTACTAAAACTACTTACACTTAAGCACTTGAGACAAATGCCTAATGAAAATACTTAGAGGAAACAGAAGAAATATTTTGATGAACTACTTAGAGGAAATACTTTTTTTTTTTTTTTGTAAAAATTTTTATATTTTATTTACAAGCTTACTGCTACCATAGTGACAGCTTAATCTAGTTTTATATTAAAAATAATAACAACAAATATAAGATCTAGGAAATACTTAGAAGAAATAATTTGATGAAATGCGTTGATGAAATACTTAGAGGAAATATTTAGAGGAAAAATGTAGATGATATACATAGAGGAAAATACTTAGATGAAATGCTTAGGGGAAATACGTAGAAAAATACTTAAAAGAAAAAATAATATAAAGAATTTAAGAAAATGTAAATAGATAATTATCTATTAAGCTCTATATGATATTATATATATGTATTTCAAAAAATAAAAT